TAGCAATACAATAGCACAATAAAATTCCATAAATCAAATTTCTCCCAAAACGTACCATGTAGATGTGGATTTATAGTCGTCATAGGCCCGTACTTTAAAAACCCTTCGCCAGGGCTGGCGAAGGGTTTCGCCGGGCGATCCGGAATTTCGTACTTTTAAAATCATGCCTGGCGAACGTTCGCCAGGGCTGGCGAAAGATCATATTGGAACAGCCTGGCGAAGAGAGCTGTTTGAATACCATTTTCTTGCTTTCAAATTATAAATTAGTAACATATTTGTGTATGATAGGATGTAGGAATCACATTGAAATTATAAAATATCTTAAAATCATAATTTGTTATGAAATAACGTATATACGTATTTTTTTCAAGACCTTCGATGTTCCAGTCGAGAGCTCAAGACATCAGCTGTATTCCTTCCCCCCCCCCCCGAGATGACTTATTTAGATTTAGGTTGTTGTTATTTTGGTTGTAAGGATAATGTTCTTTTCACAAATGTTACCAGAAGTGTTTTTTTATGGCGGCATGTTTACTTTTGGCTATAGAAACAGCTGTAGTGCTCCACCGCCCTATAATGAGGCGTGTCTAATGATACCCTTGTAGGCCTACAGTTCAATATCTTATATCAGTTAGGAATAGTAAAATAGTAATTTTTAAACTTGTTAAAGTATAAAGTTATTTTTTGTATAAAAGTATATGGTTTATAGTGTAGTATAAAGTACTTTTAAAACCTTTCGCAAATGCTCGCCTGGCGAAGCTTCGAGGAAGCCTTACTTTTAAACTAAGGCAGGTGTTCGCCAGGCCTGGCGAACGAAAGGGATCGTCAGGCGCTAACATCTTGGATTCCTGATAAATCTAGCGCTTCGGCGAATGAAAAAAAAACGCGAGAAAAAGCAAAAGGTTTTAAAAGTACGGGCCATAAAGTTAACCTTGTTATAGTATAAAGTGTAGTATAGCATAAAGTATAAAGTTAATTTTGTTATAGTATAAAGATATTTTCAACTTCTTTGTTATAGCATAAAGTTAAATTTTAACTCCTTTGTTATAGTATAAAGTGAGACTATTGCGGAAACATTTTCGTCTTCTCTCGAGGTTAATAATTAAGTTTAGGTTATGTTATGTGCACTGCAGATGTAAACAAATTTGCGCTAGATTTAGCGGGAATGCAAGATGTTAGCGCCTGGCGAACGTTGGGTTTAAAAGTAAGGCCTCCCTCACTCAGAGGTTCGCCTGGCGAAGCTTCGCCAGGTGAACGCCAGCACTGGCGAAAGTTTTTAAAGTACGGCCCTTAATTATGCGTTCAGACGTTCATTTTCTTACCTCCAAATTGTTTTACGCCTTTCTATCCATTTATCTATCTAAAATTCCTCGAATTTACTCGTGACACTAGACCTCGATGCCCCCTGCTCGTGCCCTTCCTCACTTCCGACTGGAATACGTAGATTTATTTTCCGCGTTTAGCACTCTCTGCGCGCGTGATGGCGATTAGGATTCAATCAGATTCCCTCGCGTCCCCGACTTCCGGTGCTTGCGAGTGTTTGGCTTCTGATTCGGCCGCGGGTCCTCTGGCGGGAGGACTGCTTGCGAGTGTCGCGGCTTGTGTGCACGCACGCATTCACACACTAATATAGACGTGTTTTTATGTATATGCATATGTATACATACGTACATATATACATATCAATTACACGTACATACATACATACGTACACACACACACACAGTTAAAGTAATGGCTAATCATTCAGATAAAGTGAAAATCCCAATGTCATACATGGAAACATCAAGCATATAAAACAAAACCATATAGCAATACAATAGCACAATAAAATTCCATAAATCAAATTTCTCCCAAAACGTACCATGTAGATGTGGATTTATAGTCGTCATAGGCCCGTACTTTAAAAACCCTTCGCCAGGGCTGGCGAAGGGTTTCGCCGGGCGATCCGGAATTTCGTACTTTTAAAATCATGCCTGGCGAACGTTCGCCAGGGCTGGCGAAAGATCATATTGGAACAGCCTGGCGAAGAGAGCTGTTTGAATACCATTTTCTTGCTTTCAAGTTATAAATTAGTAACATATTTGTGTATGATAGGATGTAGGAATCACATTGAAATTATAGAATATCTTAAAATCATAATTTGTTATGAAATAACGTATATACGTATTTTTTTCAAGACCTTCGATGTTCCAGTCGAGAGCTCAAGACATCAGCTGTATTCCTTCCCCCCCCCCCCCCCGAGATGACTTATTTAGATTTAGGTTGTTGTTATTTTGGTTGTAAGGATAATGTTCTTTTCACAAATGTTACCAGAAGTGTTTTTTTATGGCGGCATGTTTACTTTTGGCTATAGAAACAGCTGTAGTGCTCCACCGCCCTATAATGAGGCGTGTCTAATGATACCCTTGTAGGCCTACAGTTCAATATCTTATATCAGTTAGGAATAGTAAAATAGTAATTTTTAAACTCTTGTTAAAGTATAAAGTTATTTTTTGTTTAA